AAAAACAGTTATACCTTCAATCTTCGTGTTATATCCTTAGGCACAAAAAAGTTATGTCTTCAATCTTTGTTAAGCAGTTATACCTTCAATCTTGGTGTCATATTCCCCAGGCACAGCGTATCTGATCGGCACCTGGTGGGTGGCGCGGTGGTGGTGCTTCGTCCACTCCGTGTTCTTCGGCCTCGTCTCGTGGAGGACGGACGGCCTGCAGCACCTCGAAGTGTGGATGTACCGAAGGCAGCGTCAGCAAGTGAAGGAGGAATAGGGATATTTTTTCAGAAACAGAAATATATGTTTTATTGAGGAAGTAAAGATTTTTCATTATCTTTGTAGTGTGGTTTTAGTAAATACCCTTTTCCGGAAAGATTTTTAAAAATCTTTAGGTACGTATCTCCCTCCCTCAAAAAAAATGAAAGGAATAATGGGTATGATAAAATGGATGTTGGTGCGATATCCATCGAGACACTTGATGAGAACTGCATCAAGGGGAGTACTGGAGGATCTTCCAACGAGTGCTAACCAGTATGTGGTCGATCTCCTTGGCTGCATTACCCGCCTCATCGCACCATGGCCAACGATGAGGGCTAGAGCGCTAGTACCAAGAGCCAGAAATCCTCAATTTCCCATGAGGACCGACAGATATCCCATAGCCAGCTCGATCGCAATTACATGCCGCATCAACGTCACCCAGAACAATACGAATATTTCGCCGAGGACAACTCTCTAACACAGAAAAAAGTTTAGCAAAATATTCGTATTGTATATACATGTATATACCTGGCAGCGGCACGATCAGTGTAGGTGGCTACACCTATTGCTGGTCAAGCCGTGGCGATGGTCACCATCTTCAAGAAGTAGCCATAGCCATCTCCAGCAGACTTCAGCCCTCGGTGGTAGAGGTTACTCCAGTCGATAAGCGTATAATGATATGAAAACAAGCTTGCATTTGGCTTCATGTCTTATAGTGCTGTGTAAAAGACATTAATACACACACACACACACACACATACACATACACATACACATACACATACACATACACATACACACACATATACACATACACATATACACACACATATACACACACACACACACACACACACACACACACACACACACACACACACACACACACACACACACACACACACACACACACACACACACACACACACACACACACACACACACACACACACGGGCTCTGGATTGGAAAAGTTAGGAAATCACACGCTTATTTTCCAGGCCAACAAAAGCCAAAAGTTTTTAAAAATCATTACCTTCGTTGGAAACCAGCATAAACTCATGAGACCTATCTCTCTGTTAGTCTCCCTGTCTGTCTGAGTTTCTGTCTCTGTCTGTGCAGGTCTCTGCCATACGGTTTCCTTTGTATATCATGTGATGTCCCTTTATTTTAATCTTAATAAGAATTTTCTGTCTGTATTTTAGTGTTCGATCCTAGCATCACCTTCCATTATTTTTCAGTTCTATTTGATAAAGCAAGGGAAAGTTAAGTTCTATTTTTTTCTCTTGTTTTCTATCATTTGCCTGTTGCTTTGTTTTCTCATTCCAGCATCGATGCCTCAATTCAGCAGAAAGTTCTTAATAGGATTTTTCACGGGAAAGCATAGGTTCTTTGCGTGAAAAGTGGGTTAGACAGAATGGGGCGCCATCGTTCAGATTACCTTTTTCCATTTTAGTGCTATGCATTTCTCATTACAAATTGAAAATATAGGTAATGGTTAAGCAGTTACCAAAATAAACGTAGAGAGGGAATGTTTTTGTTTTAAATGAATGCAAAAACAGATGTATTAATCACAGAAATTTACTTATTCTATAATAATATTAAGGAGAAAAAAACAATATATGCCACTACTTCTGAATAATATTGTAAGGTCTTACATAAGATTACTAATCATACATACAATACAAATCATAGTCACAATTAATATGAAAGACCGTGTCTAGGGAACATTGAACATTGTTGAATGACCAACATAAAATTGTTATGCTATCACACATGCTGGCCTAATCAATCTTCAACTGCTTTGCTCCTATTGAGTTCCTTATACTCAAATGCAAATGCTTAATTAAAAACAATTCAAGCTAAAACAATATGAATAGGCTCAAAGTGTGTTACTCAAGGAACCTAAAAGCAGTTCTTTAATCTTTCAAACAATAAACTCTTCTAGAAAAGACATTCCAACAAACAAAATGGTTAATGGTTTAAACAAATAAATGTGCTATACATCTGAAATCACATAACCCTATTGGTAAAGTATTGTGGTGAAAAGGGCAAATGAGTTAACATTTTGTATGAAGAGTGTTAAATGTCAAAGGTTATAGTGTCATAAGATAGTATGAGAGGGAAAAGGGTACAGTGATAAGAAACCAATAAAGGAAATATTTAAGGGTGTAAAGCGAGTGGATGGAATGGAGTGTATTTGTTGTTGGGGAAGTTATAGTAACATTGCTTTCAGGGAAACTGGTGAAAGAGTTATGGAATTATCAGCGGGTAATACAGGTAGAGCTGGCTGTTGGAGAAGTAGCATGAGAAGAGTCTGGGGGATGAGATAAGGGGACGGGGGAAGGAGGTGAAGTATCAGGAAGAGCGTCAGGAGGGGAGGAATCCGGAGAGCACTGTCGCGACAGAAGGGATTCACGTGAGTAACCAGGTGGGAGAGGTAATGGAGAACGAAAAGGGAATGGTGTACGGGGAGAGAACTGGGTTTTTTGGGAAAGAGTAGGGGGAACTTGCTGGGGGAGGATGGATATCGGCAAATACATTGAATGTAGAGGGACTAAGAATAGAGGGATCAGAGGGTGGATGAAGGAGCAGAACATTTTCTTGGGTCATGTCTAGGAATTTTTGGATGTCTTCAAGAGTTTCTGAAGGAGATTTGGGTAGGGAGGTCTGAAAAATAAAGGATCTCTTGTGAGGGGGAGAAGAGGGAATAGATGTCTGAGGAGCAGAGGAAAAGGAGGGTGCAGGAGAGTGTTTGGAAGGCGAAGATGAAGTAGAAGATTTAGGTTATCTAGTGCAATGGGTAAAGCAGCGGTTCCCAACCCCATGGTCATGACCCAAATGAGGGTCACCAGGGCTTTTCTGAGGGTCGTCACAGGGTCATAAAAGAAGAATAAAAGAATCCATAGCTGGATATGTCAGTTAAAGTTCATGTTTTTTATTAACACTTCTGTATTGAAATTCAATGTGTTGGTAATATAAACCTATATAAGTATAGAATAACGTAAGCTAATATACATCTGCAAGCACAACTACCATGAAAATGGTTGGATATATTACTACATGTTCACACATTTAGGGTTGCTAGCCCAGGCTAATACTGTTTTTAGGGTCGCACACGAAAAAGTTTGGGAAACACGGGTAAAGTGAGGGGAGGGAGGGGTAGGTATTGGAGAAATGGTAGAGTGGAGTACCTGGATTTAGAATGGAAAAGGGATTTGACTGAGAGATAGGGAGAGTAGAGGTGGGATGGTTCAGGACAGAGGGAAGAGATACTGGGGGAGATGCAGACACATCTTGTGGAGATGGGGGAGGAGTGCAGAGCAAAGGACTGTTTTGGAATATGCAGAGAGAGAAAAACCTCATCGTCGTGCTTCCTGTCTAGCTTCATGTAGAGTGAGGCCTAGTTTGAATCTGAGAACTGCTACCTCACATTCGAGCTTATAGGCAGGGCAGCTCCTATAAACACGTTATGGGAGTCACCACAGCTGGCACATGTACGTGACTGAGCAGGGCAATTTGAACTGTTATTACCAGGTTGGGCACATAGAGGGCAGTAGGCTGTGGAGCAACAATGTTTGGCTGTGAGCTGTGGTCAAAGAAGGGGCAGGGGTCGGAAAACCATCAAAATCAAATTCAGATAGGCTAGTTGATGAAGGGGTAAACTTTAATGCTCCTATTATTGGCCATGGTGAGCCTGAACAAAATGGGGAAAAGAAATGGCCTACCCCTCAGGTTCCCCATACGGGGTAAGAGCTAGGATATTAACCAAGGGAATACCATGCCCACAGCTCCCAGAGGCACTTCATGACTGACAAAGCCAGCCTTTCAGCATGGCTCTCACACCTTAAGGAATGGGAAAGAAGGGGATGAAGAAGATATGGAAGAAGAAAGGAGGAGAGACAAGGGCTGAAGCCCAAGGTAGGGACAAATCCCCTAGATTGGATTCAAGTCTCCGTCTCCTAAGCCCTCCCCCCCACGACAACAAGCGAGGTATTGGGAGGGTCAATGGAAAAAAAAAAAAAATACTGTAATCATATATATGAAAAACATTTTCAGAATATTTATGGTTTAATTAAAGATAGACATTCAACACAAATGCAATACAAATTTATATTAAAAAGTTCGGAGAACTCTTTTAGCTTCAGGGTTCAAGAAAGTCCAAACATTTCACATCAGACAATTTGCAAATGTAAATGAGCAAAAGATTTCTTTACCTAATAAAAGGTAGGAGAATTTTCTGAGCAATATTCCAAACTTTTCTATGGAAATAAAGTTGAGAACAGAAACAGCATACAAGTCCTTAAAAATACAACATAAACTGCATTAAATGTATATTAGTTCTTCATATCACTTTCCACAATGGAAAATGCATGATATAATTGGTCTACAAACAAGTCTATATTCATGGATAATCATCAGTTCCAAACTTTTTGTAGGTTAATGACACTATTCTAATATGACACTGTTTGTACGTGGCTATAGGTTAATCGTGCACAGAACCTACTTTACCAGTTAGTTAAATATGTCCTATAGTTTTTGAAATACGTGCTAGCAGTCATTCTACTACTACAGTATGCATACTTCTCATTATTCACTGCTAAGAAATGAGCCTCAAAAGAATGAAAAGACTGAAATACATGTAGATTATGGGCAGTCTAAAACCAGATTCACTGACGATTATTATTTAATTTTTGGGGGGTATTCTACCCATACAATCTGACTAGTATATCCACAAAAAACGTATGCATTATTTTTCCTTTTTTTTGTTTTGTTTTGTTTTTTGTTTTTCTTTTTTTGCTTTTTTTTTCTCTTTTTTTTTCATCAATTACAAGATTTGGCAGCAGGACTTTTAGCCAATTCTGGAAGTCCATTATACCTTACAACGCTACAGTGATATCTTGATTAATAGACTACAATGACATCACATAATACAAAGACCTTGTGCGTATGGAACTACTTTGTGGTCTACTTTTCGTACCCATAACAAAGTGTCCTAAGGACATTTAGGCTTCACAGTCAAGGAGAAAAAATGTATTCATTGTCATCTGCACACTTTGCCTTAAGAACTGAAGAAACTTGCAGCATCACGAGAAATGCCACTGATCTCTCACTACAAATACTGAAGACAAGCAAAACGAAAAAAAGAAAAATTCAATACATGATTACAGGTTTATACAGACTGTATACATGTACCAAACAAAAAGAATTTAAATGACCAATTATGACGTTTTCTTATCCAAATAACCGAAACGGTCTCCATGACCTACCGTGATATCATAATTTGTTAACACCAAGAGTGTCAGTATGAGTGCACTGTCTACTGTAATTTTATTTGATTAATGACTCCAGAAGTGATTTGTCACCAAGATGCCAATTCCTTGGCCTACCTGACTTCCCTTCCTAACCAAATTCCTTGAATTTCTCGATTTTTTTTTTTTCATCTTTATTACTATCATTATTGCTCCTAAAATTATCATAATATTGTTAATAAGAATACTATTAATAATAGCAATAATACTTGTATTAAAAATAAAGACTCGTGGAAAATACATGGCATGGTGTCAACTGATAAGGAGGTCTGGTTGACCTTGCGACGAAGCACTTATGAAGCCATCAATTGTAATACAAAACTACAGTGGACATTGCATGTACTCAGCACCAGTGGGTTAAATAAGAACTTTGAGAACAGTGAAATTTGTCACATATCACAAAAACAACAGATATAGTATCACATGTACACATATTGTACACCTCTTACCTGAATTTTCTCATAATTACAAGCTCATTAGATTGCTTACATCATTCTATTCATTCTAATTTCTTTCCTTCAAAAAAGCATATAAAATACTTTCCAAACACATAGATTTTGCTTGCATATATAAAAATAGATCAATGCTCTTACATTTCTGAAGAGAGTAAGTCTTCCCACATATAATTTGGACGTTTATCTGGCAAGGATTTCGAGAGAAAAGAGGGTGCGAAAAATTGGCTTCTTCATACAAAATATACCATTACAGACAGACAACAAGGGAGGCAAGCAGAGACAGACAGACAAATTGAGGTAGGTAGGTAAACATGCAGGCAGACAGATAGGCAACACAGATAGACAGATATACTAATTCACATAATGATTTAAAAATTAAAAGATAAAATTCCAACACTTCACTCACATTTCTCTGAGACCTTATTGTAAATGTAAATCCCCATATCGTATGACAAAGAAGGAATCAGAGAATGGTCTCATCCACTATTTTTTTCAGGAACATCATAAATGACTGACAGTAACTGCAACTTTATGGTGCTATACTGTCCGTCTTTGAGCCTTGATGGATGTCATCCTGAGCAAAAATCAACAATGTCAACAAATATTCTATTGCTAAGAATACCTTAAAAAAAAACAATCATAGGTAATCCTTTTTAGTGACTGTGTAATTTCAGATTTTTTTTTTAACAAAAAATATAAATCAAGGATTTCAAATATATATACCACTTTCTGTACGGGATTGATATATAACTTGCTGGAAAATATTAAGCAAGTTCAATTACTTAAAAATTATACAGTATAAAAGATATATATAACAAATTAAAAGATAATGCGGAATTGTTTCCTTTTAAATCATACTAACATTTCAAGAATAAACATCTATAGTAACAACTTACACCATAAGACGAGGAGTTGCTACATTCCACATTTCAACATAACCTTACATTGTAAATATTGTGTCTCATGGTATATAAATGAGAGTAAATATAATAATATTGATATATCTGGTATGATGATATCAGGTCTCATGAAGTTGTTTAAATTCTGATCAGTATCCACTTCAGATCAACATTTTCTTTTTCATATTTCCCTAGGGTATAAAGAAATGTTCAGATCTCCACAAATCAACAAAATATGAAGAATGAATATCTATTCCAATGATTCTGCAACTGACGCAGGAAGTTATGATGACATGCAAAGAGTACTGCACCAAGACATTCAAAACCATCATGAGACCTGAAAAGCACTCCCAAATACTCTCTATATAAGGAAACAATACATCATACAGACAAATACATTACAGCAATTTTCAACCCTGTAATAAATGTTGCAAACAAATATGATACATATAAAATCAGCAATAATATAACATAATACTATACATTTCTTCATAAAATGAGCAAGTGATATAGAGTCATTACCAAGAGTGAAATAATCTCATTGCAAACCACAATGTATCCCCTGTATCAACTAAAAGTGAGTTTTTATCTGTCATGTCCATCCCTCCTCCCTTTTGCCATACCTTCAGAGTCTCTGGAAGAAATGGGAGTTCATTTCTGTTAGTACTTTAGTTAAGTTATACAAAACTGATTCACAAGATCGTTTTTTCATCTGATGAATGGGAGTCACCATCCAGTTGTATTTGTACAGTATGAGATACACATTTTCTCTAAAGTCATGTCAAAACATGGGACACCAATCCAAGTAATTATCAAAATCTTTTGACTCTTAAACTAGTAAGGAGAACATGAGCAGAATTCTATAGAATTTAGGGAACATGAATTAGATGTTTTTATCCATCAACAATTACACCATATGACACCAAAATCTAAGAGCATAGTAAAGTGTGATAATTTCATAATTGCAGATCTAAGGACTTCTGTCATATTTTCCCAACAGAAAAGGTCTGTACTATATATATCAAAATCAATTGGTGTTGAACACACTTCTTCTTTGGCAACTTTCACAAGGGAAGCAATTTATCCAGGAGCCTCTTTTTCTACTTCTATCCTGCTTAGTGACAAATGACTAGGTTTAATTCGGAGTTCAGGTACTCTACTCTTAATTCTAATACCCTATTAATCTGGTATATGCACTGGAAAGTTAATAACTTTATTAACAAACTTAACAGTTCCTAACCCTTTAACCACTGTACCTTGAAAACCAAAGTGATATCCTGCCACAGTTAGAAATAATATTCTCCTGTTAGACTGAGTCACATCTGCCAAGAGGGTAGGAAACAAAGTCTTGCTTTGCAATTCAAATTTCCATTCCCATTCTACGGCCATCTAACTTTATGCATAAATGCATGCCATTCAGCATCATTCAGCATCAGCTGCCTGCAATACTGAAATATCTTATTAAAAGATGTATGACTTATATATAAATAAAAGTAAGGGTGAGAGTGAGTGTGTAGGGTATATGGATAGAGAGTGTGGGTGGTTGTGGCTATATCTATGGTGTTTTCTCATGTGTAATAATTTCATTTATTTTTTTTCCCACAAATTAATGCTATATATACTTTTAAATTTGTTTATCACCTGTTATATCACCAATTCTATGTACACCACCACTTGCAGGCACTAAACCTCTTCATCAAATATTGCACACTATTAAAAATCTAGATCACAAAAGCTCTCTTCATTCAATTTTACAAACCAAAAATCTGAGCATAGGATATGAAGCACTTGGGGGAGGAAGTGATATATCAATTACTCTGAGCAACAGTCGCAAGTGGCATATCTTGCAACTTTGCAGAGAACACGAGCATTGGCCCTGCTGTTAACCTTCTATCGACTGAAAAGGGACGGTGGACATTTTTGTGGGTCGGACAACAGCTGTCAAGGCAGTTTAGAAGACTTGTGCATGTGGAAGCTTCATCCTTCCAAAGTTGGCTGAAAGCTCTTTCACTTTCTTTGAAAATGCAGACCAAAGGAACGCTCATACATGGTAAACAATGGCTGGAATCACCAACCCTGCGGCGCATGAGATTGCAAACAGCCACTCAGCGATAATAAGCTGGAATTCAGAGTACGCAGTGACTTAAACTCCCCATCAGCATTGCATTAGGAAATGAGTTCTGGTCACTTGGCCAACTCAGTAAAAGAATCTGGCAAGGGATAAAAAGCATAGGGATTCAACGGGCAGAGGACATAGGTACAAGATCAGCAAATGAGCATAGGACATTTGAGAACACTTGACATTAATCTATAAATGGATAAAAAGTCTAAAACAAGAAAAATATGGAAAGCCTATGAGCACAGAGATGGCTTCATGTGCATGATACAAGTACTTGAAAACTAGAAAAGTGTGATCGCTCCTACTCATCAAGAATGGGAGATGACCAACAATGAGAGAAATCTGATTGAAAATGTGAAACATCTTATAAATATTAGATAAAAAACATGAAAACTAAAAAGAAAAATAATTGCAATTATGTCAAGATTGTCTCCATGTTCATGAACTACTCAGATCCTGCACCAAATGCCTCATATATAAATTGTACCATTAGCATATCTGGATGTATACATATAGTAAAGTATTACAGAAGGTAAAATGTCCTCTGTTGATGTTACAGTACTCATCTACTGTAACAGATTTAGATCCAATCCCACTAGAGAACATTGTGGTAGCAAGCCTCAGGCAGTCGCAAGAATACTCTCGTCTCTTTCACATTGGACGGACAACAGTGTGGTGGTTTCACGGCCATCTTCTCCCTAATGCTCTCCATCATCTGTTGGAAAAAATGGTCATAAATGTCAACTCTTGGTCATGATCGTTTTCCTTGCATATAATCCAACATAACCTTGTTGATCATAAAACTGAAGTACAAAAAAGTACCAAAATAAATTGTTACAATATTATTTCAAGAAAATGTTAGAAATGGATATGACTGTCAAATAATAAGTAGAGGAAGACCAATAAAAAAGTGCATCTCAAAGTTAGAAATGCAAAGTAATTCAGTCCATGAATTTTATTTAAACATGCATGACTATTATGATACACATACAATATATATATACATATAGATATATATACATATAGATATATATGTCAATGGCCAGACTTATAGTAGTAGTATTTTAAAGGTAATCCTGACCCAATGAGACCATTAAACACTAAGGAAATGGTTTTCCACTGGTTGTATGGTAGGTGGAATGGTAGATCATGGAGGCTCCACATTCCATTGCAGCTACAGAGTGTGTTGTTAATCCCACAGAGGGGATAGGCCTTTCATGTTTTACAAGGCACTATAGACACTGTGTCTTGGGGACATTAGGGTGATAATCTACAGGTCTTGTAAACCACTGTGCTCAGTGCTGGGTTAGCAGGGTCAGGAGAGGCCAAGGCGCCCGTGTGGCACTTGCGCCCCAGTTCGGTTTCAACCTTGATCGCGCATGGACGACGTGACGGTTGATTTGAGGCGCATTTAACTGTTTGGTTATTATTACAGAATTCTGTGTGACTTAATTTGATGAAGGTAGATAAGGGTCTGCACTACTTCACTATTCCAAGGGGAATCGCACTTTCGTCAGGAGACAAGCATATACAACATTGTACAAGTAACTATATTAAAAGTATAAATGCATTTTTGTGTTTATTATAACCAGGTGAAATTATACTGATATATAATTGTCATACGTAAAAGCTAAACGTATTATATCATGACACCGAGCCCGCTCCACAGGGAGTTGAATTAAAACCTATCATCCAGTAGCTATTTAACTTCTTGTCATATCTACTCACGGGAGAAGTAGATTGATAAAATGTAGCATAGCAACCCATTAATAAGGGCTAGGTAATATATATACATATAGATATATATATACATGTAGATTTATATATATATATTATACATAGATATATATACATACAGATATATATACATATAGATATATATACAGATATATACATATAGATATATATATACACATACACATATACATACACATTATATGTATTATATATATATATATTATATTATATATATATATAATATATATATATATATATATATATATATATATATATATATATATATATATATATATATATATATATATATATATATATATATATATATATATATATATATATATATATATATATATATATATATATATATATATATATATATATATATATATACATATATATACATATATAATATATATACATATATATATACATCTAAGTATATATACACATATACATATATATGCTTATACATATATATATATATATATATATATACAGATATATATACATATATGCATACATATACACACATACAATTACACATACATATAAACATACATATACATATATAATATACACACACACACACACACACATATATATATATATATATATATATATATATATATATATATATATATATATATATATATATATATATATATATATATATATATATATATATATATCTATACACTCTCATATAAGAACCCACCAGCCCCGTAAGGCAATCTCCTAGTGTTTGGTGACACAAACAAATCACGCTCATCCAATTTGTCTTGAGCCAGCACGGAAGAGTATGGCTTATGAAATCAACATGGAGCCAAATGTCGAATCATAGCATATCAGACCAGAGGGGGCCACCTCCGGACCCTTGCCAAGAGATCAGGAGGGCACATCAGCAGCCCCAGACTGATGTGACAGATGCGACCAGGGGATCATATCAGCAGCCTCGGACTGATATGATACATACAACCAGAGGAAAAACAATGTCGAAAAGAACATCTGACACCTGCACCTAAAATCCACGAACAATCAATGACCTTAATAACCACTCTTTACATACAATGCTCCATGAACTCAACAACATAAAATGGGACATTGTCGGTTTATCAGAAACAAAAGTTAAAGAAAGCAAGATTGAAATCCATGAGACAACTGGCCACAAACTAACCAACCAACACTAACAATAATATAACCTCCTTGGCAGAGGTAATTATCTCAATCATTATCAATTTTCATAAAAATCCACAGATAAAAACAATAAATGTTGTTTTTCTACATAGACCATAGAAGATGAGGGTCTCGTCATGATCTGCACAGTGGCCAAAACAGATTACAAAACTGATTTCTTACCTTCCTGTTTGCCTTGGATGCCTCTGCATGAATGACTATACGTTCAGGATAATCTTGTCCTATGATGCACTTGTATGCTTCTTGTACAGATTTTGGAGCAAGCCAGGGCTCAAAAATGTAATCTTGTGGCAGTGAAGCTAATTCAGGAACATATCGTCTGCAACAAATCCAAAGTAATTGGTAGAGGAAAACAATCCCAAATCATGATCACCTTAATCATTTATTTTCACTATGAATATTTACTCGTACTTCTATCACACAATAAGTACCTTCATGTACATACACATGTAATTTGTAAAATTTTGATCATGAAACCTAAATTATATTTCCAGGTAAATTTCAGAAACCCTTGCAGCCAGTGATTTCCTCCTTGCTGCTACACTCAAACTAAACATACCTGATATAATCCCCTGTTGGTTCAATTCTTTTGCCATAGTTCACGGGGCATATGCAGGTGGAGCAATCCAGCTGGCGTTCAAAGGCCGAGGAGCTGACCCACATCCAGTTTCCAGCACAGACAGACCAGTCTGCGTCAATGAGGTATTTCAGAAACACCTGAAAGAAAGCACCCATTACATGTGTATCTTAAACATGTATAAACAAGTTTTGTGAGCAGATTCAGGATCAATGGAATTGTTAGTTTCAAAAATTCTATAAACCTTATCATGATACATTAACCCCCTAGACCCGGATAACGTTGCGATCATGTCAAGGAAAAACTTGGGCAGCTACCTGGGTGATGTGATGATGCCATCAACTGGGCAAAAGGACCACAACCCGGGTGACGCGAACAAAGCGTCAAGAGCGAAAGCCAGGGTGACAGAAAAGACTCGCCACGAGTGCACAAACCTCTTGGAGTGTGATTTGACTCATTTGGCACTTAGAAGGGGGATTTAGCATTATTCCCTTTGATAAACGAATGTGGAATGTAATATGTGTAAGTAGTGACTGGAAGAGCGCCGGCTCCAGGAAGGACGCCATTTCCATGCTGTGCACCGTATTCCTGGCCGCTGTGACCTGCGGTGCCGGTTATATTACGTAAAATTGAAAATTACAAAATAATGAGATATATAACGCAAATAACCAAACATTTTTTTTTTTTTCTTGCACTGAGCTATTTACTACATAGATGATATGGAGTCTGTGCATGGAAAATAAGTAATTACCATCGGGATAAAGCAAATCAAAAGACAAATATGGAAACTGGGAAATGACGATAAAGCTAAAAAAGTTTACACAAAATAACTTTTCAAAGGGGAGGCACAACGTCTTGTCAGCGCTCATGGGTGTTCGTGCGTGCCCGGCCTGCATGCTGCACGCCTGGGATGCTGGCCACTTATGTAACCCATTGTCCGGGGTTTTCAGCACCTGTTGCCTATGCCAACCGGCACTATCATTTCATGATATGAATATCTCCTATGACTCCTATAAAAAAAAATACAGCTTTAAACCCTACATTATCAAAAGTATGATGATAACTTCATTTTCTTAAAGGACTTCCCTATGTACATGAAACTCTTTTTTACTTGGAGTGAAACTTCCTTTTTGTCTGAAAACTGAAAGTGCCAATTGCATAAATCTATCTACAGTAAACAAGAAAAAAGGAATTACATGCAGTCCATCTTCCCAGCTAATCCACAGGTCTCCTCTGGTCAAGAAACACGCAACAGCTGTCCTACACACATGGTGGATCCATCCCTCCTGAAAGAATAAATAAGAAGTTAAATTTGCTTGCAGAGATACTTAATCCAAAAGCAAGTTATTATTAAAAAAATCACTAAGTGTCTACTATATTGCTTTTTCCTAAAAGGAAATACTGATGCTGTGGGATCGGCAGCCTTGTATATCCTTGCATACATTCTCTTATTTTGTAAAAATAAAATTTGTGAAAGAGATTCTTAACTTTTTTTTGTCACTCAAAAAAGCGTAACATAACTTATTTATTGAAAAGGACTCTAAAGTATATTCGCTAAAAAATGTATCTTTTCTCAGGAGTAGAGGAAACCGAAACAATCGCTTGGAGTTGATCCAAAAAAGCTGGTACTTGTTTTCAAAACTTAGAACAGATGAGAGTTCGTAATGTCCTCAAAAGGGACCTGGTAATAACATGGACCTCAAATTAATGCTCTGATTTGTTTCTTCCTAAATGCAAAAAAATCATATCGGTTTCTGTAAAGTGCAGCCGAACAACAACAACCATCTCATATGGTTATTTGGAAGCAGTGAAATGACAGAACTAGCAGCCACTATCACATGGTATTCTCAAACAGCTATTAGTGGAAGGTCCTGAGAATGTCACACTTCTGACAATGGTTTCACTGGTTTCAAAAAACTTAAAGGAGCTGTATAACAAAATTGCCTCCATGCATAGGGAAGATTGGCATCATGAATATGGTAACAATGAAAATATCATCACTGTAAAACTAACATCAGCTTTAACAAGTGGTATTGTTAAAAGGCAATGTATGAGTGACATATAAGCTACAGGAAATCAAGATTGCATAATCAAGAGAACAAGAAGAGACAAAAAGGATATCAAGTGATTATGCTTTACTGTGTTCGTGATTTACAACAGAAAATAGAGGTTACACAGGAAACAGGAGCAGTGATCTGCTTAAACCATAGGATTTGGGTGATGTGACGTGTCATGAAAAAATTTGGGCAGTGTGATGAGAATATCCCAAAAATTTTGCAGAGGGCCGAATGACGGGAATATGCCATCATGGAAAAATTTGTCTGAGGGCCAGGGTGGTGGGAAAGTGCCCTCATGAAAAATTCACCTGAAGGCTGATATAACTTGTCATGAGTGTATAAAGCTTTTGAAGGAAGTTTAGACTCAGAGGGCATTTCGGAAGGGGCTCTTGCATTACCTCTATTAGTAAATATGGGTGGAATATACCATCCGTGATCCGTGGCTCAAAGAGCATTGGCTCAAGAGAGGACACCATTTTCATGTGCAATCCCCTATTCCTGGCCACCAGGACCAGTAGCACAGAGTGCGTTTTAGAAAATTGAATACCAAAATATCAAATAATAACAAATAATAAAATGTTAGTTATTGTTATTGTTACTGCACAGAGTTGTAGACTTCCTAGAGAGTTGATATGTAGTCTGTTCAAGGAATACAGTCCTTGTCCATTTTGATGCAGCATATCAAATGACAAATATCTACCTTAGAGGAAAAAAACTTGTGCAGGTAAAGTAATAATAATATTGCAAAGGGGAGGCAAGAAGTTTTGATGCCACACTTGAGTGTCCATAATGGCCGGGCCTACAAGTCACACACCCAGAAGGATCTCCACTCAAACAAGTCTAATGCTTGGATTTTGGGCCAAATGCGAGTCATGGGGTTGTTACCCCAGATCCAACAGGTTACAGGCCCCAAATCATAAACAAGGGCTTCATTCTCAACAGGCAGGAATTCGTTAATTCATAACACAGTTATGCCTCCTCTTACTCATGAATTACAACACCAGGTTGAGGACATAGGAAACCATCAATCTGATTAACCCATTTACGACGGGTGTCCATGTAGGAGATACAAAAAAAATTGATGAAAACTCAGCAGCCTTTTTGCAAAACTTGTTAGTATTTTATACACAAATAGAGATGTGCAGTATAGAGAGTTCTGCACAGAGTTCTTACTGTTCAAGTACAGTCCTTGTCCATTTTGATGCAGCATATCAAATGAAAATTCCCACCTTAGAGGAAAAAACTTGTGCAGGTAAAGTAATAATAATATTGCAAAGGGGAGGCAAGAAGTTTTGATGCCACACTTGAGTGTCCATAATGGCCGGGCCTACAAGTCACACACCCAGATGGATCTCCACTCAAACAAGTCTAATGCTTGGATTTTGGGCCAAATGCGATCATGGGGTGTTTATCCTGATCCAACAGGTTACAGGCCCCAAATCATAAACAAGGGCTTCATTCTCAACAGGCAGGAATTCGTTAATTCATAACACAGTTATGCCTCCTCTTACTCATGAATTACAACAGTAGGTAGAGGGGCATAGGAAACAGGATCATCAATCTGATTAACCCAATTACAACGGGTGTCCCCAGACCTAAAAATGAGCCTGATACGCTCCAACTCAGCAGCCCTGCACGCCGATTTTGTAGCCACCCGGAAACTTTTATTTTCAGCTTCAAAATATATCAGCATTAGTGGGTTAACAACCCTACCACCTAAAAGAAGTTTCAGCAAACGGAATTAATTCATACAAAAGCATTTCAGGAGTCTGGACAAATACACACAGATGGCTTTAACTTCCATTATACAAATGTTCAGGAAAACTATGCTTTTGTCTTACAGTGATGAGTAAATCTGTCCAATCATTCTATTACGATGTAAAACTTGTTCAGTTTAAGCAAGTGTTTAGTGTTTATTTTTGTCAACAGTTGGCAATATAGTTGACTTGTTCCCATTCTCAGCAGCATCTTCACCATCAACTGCCAGTGGGAAAGTATGTAATCACTTTGACACATTTCCCTACAATCATGATGAGTACCATGATAACAATAGTAACGAAGACCTGAAGGATTTTGGAAATGATTTAATTAGTGAATATGTTTTCATGTGAAGAGCAAGGCAACTCCAATGAGGATAACCAAAATGCTGCAACACCCATCAGTCAGCCATTTCCTTTCTACGGAATTAGAGAAAATCACTCCATTTTTCACAAATAGCTAGCAGTTTACGATTTTCATAGATGATAAAATTTCATGCGGAAGAGAAATGAACGTCAACATCCAACGATTCTAAGAAAAAGTGACAATATATCAATTCATAAACTCCATGCCACTCCATTCTTTGGGAAAATAGTGATATACCAATATCTTCCATAAAAAACTTGTATTCTAACATTTGACTACTAATACAAACAAAAAATAGAAATATTACCATGAACACGAAGAATACTATTATTACCACATATACAAAAAGCAATAGAAAATGTAAGAGTTAAAATAACAGTACTAGTAATATCAATATCAACTACTTGTACTTTATATAACAACAGCAACAGCAATAATAAATAAAAATAACAATGATGATGATAACAAAAATGATGATGAAAATGATTATGATAACAATAGTGATCATCATAATAATGATCAAAATAATACCAATGATGATGAAAATGATGAAAATAATAATGATGGTGATAATAATGATAAAAATAACGATAATGATAAAATGATGAAAATGATGGTGATGGTGAAATTTATAATAATGATGATAGTGATGAAAACGATGAAAATTATTATAAGGATAAAAATTATGATGATAATGGTGATGAAGATGATAATGATGAAAATAATAATGATAATAATCATCATCACTACATTTTTCCTTAATATTATCATTATCATTATTATTATTAATATTGTTATCATTATTACTATCATTATCATCATCATCATTATTATCATTACTATTATTATCATTATTATTATCATTATTATTATTATCATCATTATTATTATCATTATTATTATCATCATTATCATTATCATTATTATTATTCATTATCATTATCTTCATCATTATTATTATTATACTAAAATTATTATTATTAATACTGTTATTGTCATTAAATTATCATCATTATTTTATTATTACAATAATTATAATCATCATTATTATCACTATTATCATTATCATTATCATTATTCTTATTACTAAAACAATAATAACAACTATTATTATTATCATCATTATTATCATTAATATTGTCATTATCACTATCATTATCATTATCATTGTCATTATCATTAATATTATCATTAATATTATTATCATTATTATCATTACTATCATTAGTATTACCATTAGTATTATTATTATCATCATTATCATGATCATATCATTATCTTATCATGATCATTAATTATCAAACATTAATAATTTACCACTAATCCTCATTATCATTATCTTTATCATTATTATCATTACCATTATCATTACCATTACCATTATCTTTACAATTACTATTATCATTATCATCATTATCAGCAGCAGCAGCATTAAAATCATTATTATCATTATCATCATTATCATCTTTATCATCGTTATGAGTAATAGTAGTACTACAAAAAATAAAGACATAAAATAAGAATACTAGAAATGTCGTTAACAAAATTAGAAAAAAAAGCCTCTGCCATTTTCTCTGCAAAATAAGATCAGACCTTGCGAAGCTGCCTCATGCAGGCATCAATGAAAGGATAACCTGTGCGTCCCTCCGTCCACGCCTTCAAATGCTCATCATCCTTCCTCCAAGGGATGTCGATGCAAATGGGATTTCCTTTCATTCTGTTATACTGCGGGAAAATAATAAATAAATAAATAAACTGTTAAGGTTTGTCAAGATCATTTGGTTAATTTATCATTTATCATTTATACCATGTCTCTATTAATAATGGGAATTCAAAAAAGATACTTTTTAAACAAAATGAATTCACGCAAGCAAAATGCATCATCACAAAAGTGACATAAGAAAAAACATCACCTGCAGTATGTAGTTTGATTGATGGACTGATTGGCTGATTGAAGTGTTTTTAGGAGACAGTTACCTGACACAGCCACTGATGGCATTTCCACCGTTAGTTTATTTTATTTTCTCTACACATAGATGGATCCACATATACTAAGTCACCAATGAGCCAATTATATGGCTTGCCCCTACCAATTCAACATGTAATACCTATCTCACCAGTTTACGCTTTTCCTTGATTTTTTAAAATATTTTTCATTTATCTTATATTGCTATTAGTAATGCTGATAACATTATAATAATCATAATGTATGTAAAAATAATATCATCATCATCACACAAGGTCACAAGTCTATTAACTGCCCCCTTAGTGGCTGAGCACCTGTGCAGCCATCTATGTGAAGAGACACAAAACATACAACTTTTTCCCAATGGCATTGGATAAAGAGATACATTCGAGTAACAATGAATTGTCTATCATAATTTAAAATGTTAAACTAACATTTGAATATTTCTACAATGCATATATTGTGAGATACTTGACAGTAAAGCCAAAGTTTTGTGAAGCATATTGAGACCAATATTCTTGTTGATATCTATGGGAAAAGGACTGTTTTATACTTTTATGGAGTCAAAATGTTATATGGCTTGCCCCTACCAATTCAACATGTACAATTACAAAAAAAATAGAGAAGTACCCTTTCTCATCTTCCATACTGTTTTCTAATGTAAGTTGTCTAACAGTACATAAGCATACCTAATCCTTTTACTGGAGTATAATAAATAAACTGTCCCCAGTTCACTGTATGTTTTGTGAAAATATTTTATACATAGATTTCTCCACAAATACTCAGCCACCTGGGAGTCAATTAGTAGACCTTGTGACCTCACCTGATTCCAACTTTCCTTGAGGTTTTAGAAATTCTTTTTTCTTTCTTTCTTTACTAATACTACCAATATCATCATTGTCATCATTATCATAGACACTTTAATCATTATAATGTTACTGACAGTATCAATAGAAATAAAAGACAAAAGAAAATACTTCCGAAAATCAAGGAAAAGGATAAATGGGCGAGGTAGGTAGTACTAGTAATTGTACAACCATCTATCTGTACAGACAGTCTCACTTTGGGCTTGGCATATACTTTAATGAAATCCTCGGCTGCATCAGGTTAATCATATAACCTAAACATTTTAAAGTTGGCATGATTTAGGGAAATTATATCTAATGGATATAATTTGTGTTCATAGCCAACAGTTCTAAAAAATAATTACCTTCTAATGTAGGATATAATGGGAATGACATAATACTCACAGCTTCATTGTTGGCAGACATGCAGTAGAAGAATTCACGCCAAATGAGTTGAGCCGTAAG